TAGTGGAAGCCAAGGGCCATGCCACGGTGGGCTCAGGGAGTGGGTCCGTGAGCACAGCCCTCTGCCACCTCCTCCCACCCAAATTTCCAGCCCCGGCGATGCCATGCATGCCCAGATGTGTTGCAACTTCAGGCAATAAACAGGGTTGGCGGCACGGCGTTACTACAGCTTGCAAAACACCAGGCGCCAACGGGAAAGGTCCCTCCGCGCCTCCTCTGCAAGCCCACGGCAAGGAGGGGACGGATGGGTGCTGTCCCGGTGCCACCCAGGTGCTGGGTGCGGCTCCACCCACATTTTGGGGATCCCCCCCACCCAGCTTGGTGAGTCCCTGGGCTGGGGGCGGGGGGGTTCCCAGTTGGGACAAGCCCAGGATACTCACGGAAGTTCAGGAAGACGAATTTGGTGAGCACGGCGGGGAAGAGGTAGACGACGAAGGGCACGGAGACGTAGGTGAGGAGCAGGGCCAGGAGGAGGGAGGGAAACATGGGGCTCCAGGCCAGCCAGCCCCTGCGAGGCAGAGACCCCCTTAGCACAGCCCCTCCTGCCCCAGGGGGTTTGGGGTGTAGCAGAGCCGGATCCCCATTCCCAGCCCAATGGTTGGATACAGGGGGTTTTCCCCACGCAAGACTGCCGTGTGTGTCCCTCTGGTCCCCCATGCCGGGGATGCATTTGGATTTTGGGGATGGAGACGAGGTGTCAGAGCTGTGACACCGTGTCATGAGTGGCCGTGATCCGGTTCCCCGCAGCCTCCCGTGGGATGTAGGAAGCACAGGGGACACGCCAGGGCTGGGAACTGTGATCCAAACCGGCGATACGGCATGACCCATGCTCTGTGGCAGCACCCCGAGCCATGGCTGGTGAGACACAGTCACAGAGGTGTCCCCAAGCCTGGCACCGAGACCCCCTGCAACCCTCCAGGGACAAGGAGGAAAGGTGAGAAAGTGGCTCAGGGAGAAATCAGTCCCCGGAGCAATGTCCCCCAGTGCCACCAGCACAGGGTGGGCAGCATAACCACCTCTGACAGCATCCTGCCCCGAAGGGCTGGGGGACACACCCAGCCCCCCAGCGAGCCAGCCCCAGGCACAGCCCCTGAGAGGGACGGGAAAGCCAGGAGCTGCAGCCTGCCCGGCATCGCCATCCCTCGTGAGCTGATGGGGAAACTAGGCCGGGAGGCGGGGGATTGAGGGCAGAGGTTTCTGACAGGCGTCCAAGCAGGGCTCCGCTCCCTGCCCGGGGTCACCGTCACTTCTGCCGAAGCGGATTGAGCCCAGCGCCTGCCCTGGGGAGTGCTGCACGATGCTGAGAAATGGTTACAAAGGGGCTGATGGCAGCGTGGCATGGTACCCCGGGCA